TTCCCTTGAGAGCAAAAAAAGTTTAAAGAGAGAAGGGTAAGTTCTCAAATACAAGCACGGCTGCACGAAGAAGAATAAGGGTGAAATGGTCACAGTTTTTGTAACCAACAAAAGCCTCTGAATAACATGTTTGCAGAGCCCTTTACGTTGATAGATCTTACTACCAAAACAAAATACTCCAATATCTATACAAGCAATTTTCTTTTTGAAATGAAACAAAGGACTTCTTACTTGCTCCTGAGGAGAAATCTAAAGCACCAAAAGAGTTTTTTTGGGTATCGTCTGTCATTAAAAGATTTATGATTTTTTTTTAATTAAATTCCAAGATCATTTACAAATTTTAAGGATCATTTACAAAATTTATGGTTCAAGGTACAATTTATGTGGGTCATTTACAATTTTTGAAGGTTATTTGCAAAGATTGATTGCAAATAACCCTCAAAAGTTGTAAATAATCCAAAAAAATTATAATTTAAACCATAAAAGTTGTAATATAATCTCAAAAATTATAATTTTTTTATTATAAGCAAACTTAAAAACTTGTATGTCAACTTACAAAACTTAACAATATGATACTATTTTTTTTTTTAGTCTTTTAATGCACCTAATTAGGCTAAAGACAAATTGGAAAAGGATACATTTAAAGAATCAATATCAAAATTAGAGAAAAATGCTGTGTTTTATGGGTCAGTACTATATTTTCTCTTTCATTAGTAAATTTGTATTGATTTTAAGTTTCTCTTTGGTCTGTACTCAGTAGATGTACTTAATTACTTATGAATCTCGAAAGATTTGTTAGTGATTATTCGTATGAAAGTTAAAAAGTTCATTCTAATTAAATTAATATTCTAACCTAAAAAGATTGACAAACACTCGTCCTGAATAAATAAAGCAAGGACTTCCATAGCGAAGATCTAATGGTGATGACTTCCATTAACAGATCACCATTGCTGTTCACTACAACATTTCTCAGAGAAAAAATCAATTAATCTTCAAAGTAAATGCACCGTTACATACATGTAATTGAACTGTCCAATCGAAAAACTAAAAGGTTTTGGGGGGAAGATATAGTAAATGATTCAAATATTCCAAATCAAATCTTCAGGATATATATATTTGAAATGCATTAATGTGTTAAAATTAAGAACTCACCTCATATCGAAGATAAATACAGGCTTTCGACGCATCTTCGGAATCTCTGTAGCATTAGATTTAGCAGTCCCGGAGATATTATTATACCCCTAGACGCACTCAAACGCCACGGTTTCGAGAGAACTGCTCTGCGCAAAGAGTTTCGATTTGAACTTATAAGATGCTCATTTGATATCAGCTGATCTTGTTTATGTAGCATATCTAAACTCTCTCTCTCTCTCTCTCTCTCTCTCTCGGCTGCTCTCTGGCTGTGTGTCTGTGTGTAAACTATAATATCTTCAGTATGTCTCCCTCTACTTGGCTGTAGTTCATATGTTATTAAAATATTCATGAAAGAGACAGAGAAGAGATCAGAGAGAGAGATTAAAATGGTCGGAAAGCAATATGTAGTGATTTTTCATGTTTACCGATGTGAGCGAATAAAGGAAAATGTCGCACTTGGGCCGAGCCTTTTTTCCACTCCTTGCTGTTTCATATCGTTGGCTGAATGGATCGCGCACGTGAGGGAGATGGCAAGGAACGTGTTGCCCACGTTCACGTTACCCTCCTTAGTCTTTTTTTTTTTTTTTTTATGATAAATGTTTAAGTCAGTTTATACGTATTTTAATAATTTCTCTTTTTAATTTGATTAAGAACAAATTATTTAAATCGAAACTAAGATATTAACGAGAGATAAATCTTTCATAATTTCCTTAATCCTTTGACCCGTGTTGTTGCTAATGTAGATGNATACGTATTTTAATTATTTCTCTTTTTAATTTGATTAAGAACAAATTATTTAAATTGAAACTAAGATATTAACGAGGGATAAATCTTTCATAATTTCCTTAATCCTTTGACCCGTGTTGTTGCTAATGTAGATGGCAATATAAAAAAAATATTTTGGTTAAGAGTTGTGTTCAATAACTTTATAATAGTGTATGAGTATGTTGTTATAGATCATTTTTGTGCTAAAATAAACATAAAAGATGAGTCATTCCATGATAATTTTGGAGGAATAATGTCTGATTTGAATATGAGAATTTATTTTATTGTAGTTATTGAATTAACGATGGATTTCAATATGAACTAAAATTCAATATCTATCTAATGATTATATTTGTTCATTTTGGATATATGCAAAGGGGTTCTAGAGCAAATTGAAGTTACCCACTAGATTGACATTGAATGTAAGAAACAAAGGAAATATGAAGTCGTGTGCAGAGGACACCTTTTTAATGTTTTAGAAGGCTATGAAACCTATGTATGTCACTATGAGAAATCTCGGAAGGAAATGGAATTATCGAAAAAGGGTCACAGAAAGGGGTATTGATGGAGAGCCTCGACCATGGTTAAACCGGTTTTCGAATTGAACAATGGTGAACATAACGTAATATGAAAAGAGAGAGGTGAGAAAGTTTTGTGAAGGATTTTGGCATTCACATGCATTTTTTGGAATGAGATTATTTCAAATACATTTTTCTGTTCGATCCTTATTTTGATCATGATTTAGGTGTGACTTATTTATTTATGTGTGAGTCATTCACTGATTAATGATAAATGATCAACTTAGAATAAAATTAGAGAGAAAACATATTAAATGAAATTTATACTCAAATCTTCTTTATAGGGTTGTCAAAATATGATACGATCTGTTAATAAGATACGACACGAAATTAGAGAATTTGGATCTTTCTTAAGTCACTCATTTAGTAAACGAATGAGTAAAACTCGACACGATTAATAAATAAATCGGATATGAGTGAACTCAATCAGAATAAATACACAATATGACTCATTTATATATCAGTTATACACGGTTTATACATGACACGAACCTGATATACAGGAACGACTCAAGATAATTTAAGGTCTAAAGTAGTAATATTAAGTGATGTTTTTTTATTTTTATTATTATTTTAAAAAAAATAAAAATTATTTTTAATTCTTTTTAAGTGAGAGAGGAGGATGNATGATGTTTTTTTATTTTTAGTATTATTTTAAAAAAAATAAAAATTATTTTTAATTCTTTTTAAGTGAGAGAGGGGGATGTGATATTTTATTTTTGTTTTTTAAGAGAAAGTGTGTGTGTGGATGTTAGTAAGTATGAGTTGACTTTTGAATATTTTTTTTATTTATTTTTTAAATTTTTTATTTTTGAGTTTCTAATGTTATGAATTGAATTGTAAGCTCAAGTTATTGAAATTATAATTTTTTGATTGGGCTTAAATTTTTTGGGATCATTTTGTAAAGCCTAAAACTTTTATGGATTTAAATTTTTTGTGTGAACTAATTATGTATTTAAAATTATAAAGTCTTTCAAAAATTTGAGGCCTAAAGTCCACACTTTATTTTTAATACAGTTGGGGCGGCCCTGCCGATATAATACAATTCGTTGGAGAAGTATTAATAAACAATGTGAGTGAATTATTTTTTAACACAAATCTATTAAAACTAGATATAAATCCGTCTCAATCAACACGATTCACGTACCTCCTTCTTTGGATATAAAGTTCTTTTGCCACTTTTGCTCAACCTTCCCCATTGAATCTTGGTAATATTTTGTAAGCCCAATGGCCCACTTAACAAAGTTGGACCTGTTTCTATTCTAGTCATGGGCTTACAATGAAGTCAAGCCCAATAAACAAGCTAGAAATGCCATCGAGTGTGGGATTGGACGAATCAGATTCAAACCCTAACGTAAGCCTCCGCCATTGCCCAATGCACCTTGACTCATCTTCTCCGCCGTACGCCTCACCCTCCCCTCCTCGGCTCCTCTTCCTGTTCCTCTTCTTTTTTGGTAATACAACGTCTTTGTTTCGATTGTTGCAATTTTTTTTCCTTATTTCGGATTTGATGATTGTTTTGTCATTAGAGAGGGCAAAGATGAACAGTGCTTTTTGATTCTGACACCTCTTGTATGAGTGGAGTCTTAACAGACTCTTCTTTGAGCACATAAAGCAACTCTCTGAGCTCCTCATCCGCCATCAATTTCAATTAATTACGTAAATTATTTTATTCTTGAAGAAACTTCATTTTGGGAAATTTGAGGTTTTTTTGGGGTATTTTAGCCTGGTTTATTATGATTAGGCAACCACTGATTGAGTAGAAATTCAGGCAGCCTCCTTTCGTTGATAACAGAAAGTGGGAAAGGAGGCGTTTATCTGCTCGGAAATTGAAACTAACTTCTGCGCTTCAGACTTGCTGAGACTTAAAAGTCTCTGAAGCTGGTAGTAATCCTTAAGTACATTTTTATCGTTTGGTCTCTTCAAACCTTTCAATCGATTACGGAAAATAGCAGTGTTTTGATTTTCTTCTAATCATACTTTTTTCTGTGATCAAATTTCTAAAAGATCCAAACTGGGTTTTGAATTCTAAACCCTTGATGGGCATTAGAAGCTGATTTTGTCAAGGGCTAATTCTAATCTGCAAGGTCGGGTAAATCTATCGGGCGGTGGTCTTAAGGGGTTATGTTTCATGTACGCCTCATAAGAGACTTAATCCTTTGAGATTAAATCATTCTTTGAATGAAAAATGTCAGGTCTTAGATTTTGATACTAAAAACACGTAAATTAGGGATAAAATTATCTAATTCCACCCAGAATGTATGTGATGGACATTTAAAGTTGGGATACTGAAAGTTTCAACCATTATAATTGAAAATGAAACTTGAGAACAATATAACTTGAGATGCATCAAATAATCTACTTAAAAATCACCCATTATTGCTTTACTCAATCTTGATTTATGCAAGTTATGCAATTCTTAATATTTCTCGGTTAATCTCATTGACATGTCATAATAATAATACCACCAAGTTTGAAAAGGATTGAGAACGGATCAGCTTTGACTACAACAAAATTTTACTGCTAACATACATTATTACATCTCAGAGTTCTTGTCATTAGCGTCGATAGCTTTGTGTTGGACAATTTGAATCGAGTTGCAGAATTGCTGGCTGTATTTTCTGATACCATATTAATTTGTATCCCTGCCATCTCTGCCAACTTTTCCACCTCATCCTCATTCCCAATTACTTGATTAAAGCATATGTACCTCCCAAACGCTGTCTTGTTCATCGCCTCAAACACGGATACCTCTGCCTCGGCTAATCTGGTAACATCAACAGTCGCCAACAACCCATGTCTATACATCTCTTGTGCTCCTGCATGTACAAATTAGCATATTACTGTTTATATCAACTTTATCTTCCTAGGTTCCTTGGAAAAAGCTCACAAACTTTAGTAGTGAGGATAGATTATGACACGTTACAATCTCACATCGGTTAAAAATAAAATTAAATCTGTGTATATAAATTCTTGGGCACTTTTCCCTTGTAAGCCGGTTTTTAAGGGCAAATTCTACCCACGGATTCATAACAATTGACATCAAAACTAGCCATCATGTTGATTATAAAATCAAACACAATGTAAGTTGCGACTCTATGTGGTCAAGTCACAGAAAAGGCGACTTATAGGCTTAATTAAGATTACTTGGTATTATGTATGAATATAGTGTTATTTCATTGAATACTGATAAGTGAGTGAAACTGTCAAATAAAAAGTACTACCATTGAGTCAGATCGATAGAGTGGGCCGCCGTAAACGTTAGCTACGGTAGCTTGGTAGAATGTTCTTATGTGTATATAAACTCTTGGACATCCTTCTTTTACAACCCGATTTTCAGGGACAAGTTCTACTCACGAGTTCACAATAGTATCATCCAATCAAAAAATTGGAGAACTTTGTATGACTTAAAGGGGTTAAAGTTATCAGATCAAAGCAATGACCCAATAGAGTTCAAAAAAATTTAAGATTAATGGGGTTAAAGTAATGAGTCAATCATGACAAAGTAATGTCCTAATAGGGTTCGAAAAAATTGAGATTGGTCTTAAACTGCTATAATTGATTCTAAAGACTCTGATTGTAAAAAATACTACCAGAGGTCCAGAGCAATGGAAGACACATGAGAGGAATGGAAGGTTGGATAGCATACCTTTGAGATAAGCAATAGTTGAGGTTGGATTTCTTTGACAGAATTCAGGACCAATAATAAGGCCAGGGCAGATAGTGGCCAGTTTCAACCCTCTCTCCTCTGCTACTCTCCATGCAGCTTTTTCTGCCTTTAGCTTACCCAAGGCATACCAGAGCTGTCATTTTTCAAACAATGAAACTTAATTTTGAAGGTTAAGCAACATTAGGTCTCATTTGGATCATCCATAACAAGATGATTATTATATTGATTCATGCAGGGCCGCCCCAAAGTCTGAACTTGAGGCCCCACGTTTAAAGAAGGCCCTAAAATTTCTAGGTGCATATTAAGTTCAAATCAAAATTTTTTAAATCCATAAGATTTTAAGCCCAAAAAAAAACCATATGAATATTTAAACTCAATCAAAAATAAATTTGAATAGTTTAAACTCATGAACCCAACTCATACTATTAAACATATACCCAAAATAAATTTTTTAGAAAAAAAATGCTAAGGTTAAAAAAACAATTTGAACTAATCAGCTAAAAACACACCACTTATTTGTAACGAGTCTCTATCTCTCTCTCTCTAGTAAACTAGCGCCTTCCCTCTCACTCACTCTCTACTAAATACAAATCCTTTTTTTTTTTTTTGTGTTATGATTTTTTTTTTTGATTTCTATTATAAAAAATATACCAAAATAATTTTTTATTAAACAAGAAAAATTAAAATCAAATAGACCATGATTGTGTAAAATTAAAATTGATAAAATATTCCATAAGATCGAATATTATAAGAAAGATTAGAGTACTTTTAATCTAAAAAAACATAATTTTCAAATAAAAAATTATTAATATTAAAAATAAAAAACCTCATTTATAATAGTCGTTTTAGGCCTCAAGTAACCTTGGGCCGCCACTGGATTCATGAACCCATGAGTTTGTAGATTTTCCACTCACCCATTTAGTATTATTGGAATTGGCTGAGAGAATTACTGCAATTTGCAAGAAAATTATACCTTCCTGTCCGCACAAAACGATTCATTGCTCCAGCAATCATGGTCGATTACAGGGGAGATATCGTCGGAAGAGTTGTCTCGCCACACACAGGCCAAAAGTGATGAAGTGAAAACACAATTTCTAACAGATGGTGTTATGGCGCAAGCCTTTGTTACATTCTCACTTGCCGTCACCTCTATCTCAGCCATATATTTCTGCCAAAAGAAAACTTGGTTGCTAATTAGTAATTACTTTCAATAATGGGGGGCAGTTGACACAAAATTGGGCAGTCAAAGAAAAACAATTCTTACGATATAAATAATAAATTACAATTCAAATCTTTCTAGAAGTGAGAGGAAAAGATACTAGTAACAAAGAGCATAAGAACAAAAATGATCGGCCGCCTGAAAACAGAGTGATAAAGTAATAGTATTATGTTCAAAGGAACAGACCCAAATAAG